CTAGGAGATAATACTCCAGCCCACCATATTCTCCTAACATAGTCTCCTGCGACTGCTTCTTGTTCCTGTCCCTTAAGGCTTTCGTATCCAAGAAAACTGCCAGGAAATTTGATTACACCGGTCGAGTGGTCGCCGATATGTTGGACTCGCAGCATCCTCACCTCTGGGAGAAGGGGCTCGCTGACCTGCTCGTTAGGTAGAGCACGGTATGGCTAATGATGACTACTATATTGTTGATTAATTTCCTTTTCAATTTGAGCTACAAAATAAAAAAGGAAATAATCGCAACAGTGACGAGACTTTCTTTCCAGCCTAATACAAATTATTTATTATATTCATATTCAGCTCCATATAACGAAAGAGGTAATGTGCATTTATTTTCAGACGCTCAGCACCTTGAACTCGTCTCTCACTGCTCATCTAAATATAATGTTGCTAGAACTCTCTGCACTTGGACTTGCAAGTTCACTAAGTCAACACCCAAGTCTCAGGAAGTCTCATCTTCTTTCATATGGGTCTACGAAAGAGTCTTCGAACGGAATTTAACGTATGGTATTCCCACATGTTCTTAGGCCTTTCGACTACTATGTCGCACCTATCGTTGTCACTCAGGGAAAACGTTGCTTGAGTCGACCGTGTGCAGGTCGTCCAGTTGGACTGAAGGCCACTCACAACACCGGCACCACGTCCAACTCCTGACGAGATCTCCACAGAACTCAGCAGAGAACACCTCATCCAACAGTATGATTTCACCAAAGTCAGCGCATAAGAACTGTTGTCAGATTGAGAAGAAGGCGCTCGCTCTCATTTTAGCTGCGGAACACCTTGATTGTTTTGTTTTCGAACGTCATCAGACGCTGAAGAAGCCATAAAGCACTCGTCGCAATGTTTGGAATCAGAAAGGGAACAGCAGTTTATGGTACCAGCTGTCGCCAGCGATGAGCCCCGATGTTACTTAAGTATATCTCCGCAATAGAATACGTCAGCAAAGGATTTTGATTAAGTATACGACTTATTTGCTATAGCCTAATGAGTCATGAATTAGGAATGCGTGACAGCCGCTGCAAAAGCCTTCTGGGCGTCGGCAGGGAATTGAACTCAATTTCATGCTGCCATAGAAAGGCGTCACAATGGGAACGCCAGACATCACAATGGAAGTTCAGTTGAATCGTTTTTTTGTGACCATAAGGCATGACGTCGTATCTTCAGGCGAAATAGCGGTTTTTGTGTTTTTTTTCAAGGGAAATTAGACCCTACCCCAAGATAATAGGGGGGGCCCAAAAACAAGTCCACTTTGGCTTTCATTAACTTTCGGCGCTATAAGTGTTGATTATAAATTCTGACCGGACATCCGTCTAACCATCATATTAAAGAGCATATTAAATACTATTATGACACTCCGCCACAGCCTTCTGGGGAAGCGCCATCGACAGATTCTGGCACGCAACCGCGATGTGGTCCCTGAGATCAGCGAGATAGTCGATGTTCTCGCGCCACCGTACGACACCCTAAGGTCCCGATTTCTCCGCCACCGTAGACCACCCTATTGAACTCCGCCCGAACCGGGTAATTGAGGGATTCAGGTCAGTTGATCTACTTGGATATTCCATCTTCTTTAGTAGCTCAGCCCCGCCGCTGCCGTGGTAAAAGGAAGCGAGTTTCTCAAACGCTCTTCCGATTATTCATTGGTGGTGGCACCGCATGCTGTAGCAGTACAAAGTTTCCAAGAAGGTACGGGCGACGACATGTGGGAAGATATTCTTCTTGAGTTGGTCGATGTAACCGCCAGCGCTCAGCTTCAGCCCGGGGTCCACGAAGAAAATATTGGTCTTTCCATTCCAGGTGCGTCCGGTCCATACCATCCCAGGTGAGATCGCGTCTTGAGCGTACTGGTGGTGAAAAGATGATGCTAAACCGGGCGACTTTGCTCGGAGGCTGCTCGAATGTTTGAAGGTCCCCTTCCAGGATTGAGGAGTACCTGGTCTCCAGGTTACTAACCCCATGGCGACTCACACTAGAAGTTTCGCAGGCTGTTGGAGGTGACTGATCCAAAGGTCTTTGCTCCGTCAGCTGCGACATGGGAAGAGACCTGGCTATATTGCGTGTACATGAAGGTGATGAGGAGGGCCAGCTCCTGCTTATCGAGGAACATCTTGGGTATCTTCCGCCCTGGTACTCGTATCCACGTCTTCTCTCTGGGCTGCGAAAACTTTGCTGATATGTGACTCGGTCGAAGTGACTTTTTTTGCCCCCCCCCTGTAGTATGTTCAAACTCGAAGACATGAAGGATAGAACACAAGTAGGATCGGCACAGCTACATCATTACAACTCAAAGAGGAATTCCACTAAACTTCCGCCTGTAAAGGTTATTTGGTGCCCTGATCACGAATACAATGCACATTTTTGACGTTGGTGCCACCTGGTTTTTAACAACATTTTCACGGCGACTTGTATTTGGTGGTAACCGATGGTCTTGACCACAAATACGATATCCATTTTTCATGCTGGCGGCGTTTAATGCCACCAGCTCTTTTAGTAAAAAATGTATAAACTCGCACGCAATGGTTGTTTGGTATCGATTACAAAAGACATTCATTTTTGGCTCCGACGCTAATCTAGGGCACTCTGGTCATGTATGCTTGGCTAAGGCTCAGCCCGGCGAGAAAGGAATCGCTGTTCTTCCCAGGCTCAGCCCTAGCATAGCGCTGACAGGCGGTGGTCTCTCAAATTTAATGTCATATTCGTGATGTGACGACCATATATTAGGTCATCCCATTCAAAAAGTGCCGACGGTTTTATTCGAATAAAACAAAGAGGAGAATAGATAAAAAAGTAATATTTTAGGCTTCAAGTTAAGTAAATCCCTCCTTCACCAATGACCCGCTCCCAGTGCCCCGAAAGCCTTTGGACCTCTGGTACCTTCGATTTTTCAACAAGTGTGAGTAAATTGCTGTTGATGCCAATTTCGGCGAATGACAAAACATTGTAGCGTTTGCCGTCGGAGAGTACTCTCGACTGACGAGAACAATTGGAATCGCTCGGCTTTATGTCGGGCGAATGGGGTGATTGAACCCAGGTCTCAGTATTGTTTGTGTCCCAGCACTGCCCTACATACAGTCCTTGGGTCAGGCATCATGACAGCAAAGGCGACTTCTGTGTTGTGTGGTATCATCCATTTGTCGATCTGAATCCCAAGGAACAGGCGTTACACACCGACAGCGACGATTTTATTCTCTGTATAAAGCTGCCTGAAAGCCACCTTGCGGATAAGAACTCGCGCGGCTCCTCATGTGCATTGATACAAAATTGAGATTGTGAGTTTTGGCTCGAGGTCCCAAGACCATATTTCATCGTAGGGCGCGGGTGGCGTTTCAACAGTTGTGGAATGAACATCGCTTCGTGCTGGGACCAGCATTACTGCTAAGGCATAGATATCGGTACTCGCCGTTCGTGCTCGCTATAGGAGAAAATTAGGTATCCATAGGCACAACCCGACTTGGCCAGTACCTCAGTTTATCGGACATAATTCGGGGCAGGCAGTTGCAGCAGGGATGTCAGTCTCGCGGGGAAACTCGACAAAGGTCCAGGCTCTATAATCAGACATTCAGCGCTTGACTTCATCCACCCTTTTTCTTGTGAACAGAATGAACATTATGAGACCATCCACAACAATATATATTTCCCTTTCGTCCTCTCAGCTCCTGACCAAAACTTCACTCCTGTACTTCAGGAACAGACCATTACAACCACGACTGTTGTTAAATTCATATCATCAAGAGGCACGATCAGTCAAATGTCCAACACATCTTCAAGATACAACGCGTGAAAATCACGAGCGACCATTCCGTCAGGTGCATGAAAGCCTTCGACTCACATGCTCACAGCACTAAAGAATGGTTAAAATTGCGTTTGACTCCAGTATATTCGGCACCGAGCTCATTTTTAAATCGCGCCAAAGTCACCAAATCTGCTAAAAATTTGTATATAGGGGTAGTTTAACATCCTGATTAAGAATATGTCATTCGCTCTTGTCGCTGGCGCTAATGGATGACACTACGATTATCTGCGCTCTGCTAAGGCTGAGCCTAGGAGGTGATCCTAGTGTCCTCTCTTGACGCCAGCGACAAAAGTGAATGTCATATTCTTAATCAGGATGTTAAACTACCCCTATATACAAGTTTTTGGCGGATTTGGTGACTTAGGCAATTTACAAATGGGCTGGGTGCCGAAATTCTTGGAGTCCAAACGGCATTAGCCCAAAATATGACGCTACCGTAACCCTAAGTTCAGATGCCGGCATTTTGAATGTTTCTTTTTCTTTTCAAGAGTTCTTCCTATCTGTTTTTGTTGTTTTTTGTTTTCTTTTCTTCACATTTGATGACATCCACTACTGGGAGATGTGATAAAGTGATCTGTGAGCCAGGGCTTGCCCGGGGAAGGCAGAGCAAGGTGTGACTGTCAGGGCGCGATTTTGTTTATGGTGTTCTTGAGCACTCCTCCTGCTTTTTTCTTTTCTGGGGAATTACTTCTCAGCTACTGTTTCATAATTGAACATCAACTATCCATGACACTTTTATCGCGGGAGCTGTCTTTAATGGGGAGATGTAAAGTTTTGCAGCATCGTTTATGTCCGACTTTTTTTGAATCTGGACCAAGATTATAGTTATGGCATTCACGCCAGAGGTTCAACGTCATGAATTTCATTACTTCAGAAACGTGGCTTTGCCTACGTCAGGTCAATGAAAATGGTGGAGCAGCGAATACAGTGCAGTTCTCAGCGGACGGTGGGGCGGTCCTAAGGCCACGCTGGCTAGCGGCCCGATATTTGCCTGTTGATCGAAAGCCGCAATAACCTTGCCCCTTCGTCTCTGGCACTGACTCTGCGCTCTAACGCACGCCGCCACACAATCTACCCACTCTCCCGTTCTGGATCATCGCCGAACATAGTCTGCTCCACAGCTGACTGCGACGCTTTCGCCAGTTGTTTTTCTTCTACCATTCAGCTTTAAAAAAATTGAGAGTTTTCAACTCTCGGCTTTCTGCTCCGTTAAAGGTGAGTATTCTTACTTCAAAATTGTATCACAATTTGCATTAATTTAGCTTAAAATTCCCCTAGAAAACATTTTTTTCCTTCTGATTTTCTTCACTTCTTCACATTTTCTTCACAGGCGACTTCGAGCTTCAGAATAGAGTCAGAGATGGTTCTCGATAATAACGAGATCACATCTAAGACACTACTTCGAAAACCCGTTCAATAACATAAAAGAAGTGGGGACAATAAGGAAAAGTTTGGACGAATTGCGAAAATCAGAAGGAAAAAAATGTTTTCTAGGGGAATTTCAAGCTAAATTCATGCAAATTGTGATACAGTTTTAGTAAGAATACTCACCTTCAGCGATTGAAGCCTAAAGTCGAAAAATCTCATCCTTTTCAAGCTGAATATGGCAGGAATTCGGAGAAAATGCGGCAGGAATCAGCTGATCGGCAGCGTCAGCCATTATCGATCGGCGAGAGTGCAGGGCGGAAGAGTGAGTAGAGGGCGCGGCGGGGTGTGTTAGAGCGCAGAGTCAGTGTCAGAGACGGAGAGGCAATGATGATAATTTCCTACAATTTCTCGGCTTTCCATCGACACGCAATCAGCGGAACGCTCGCCGGCGTGGTCGTAGGGAACGCCCCACCGTCCGGTGAGCGCTCCACTGTAAGTGCGTCATTGCAATTCTCGTCCCAATTTTGGAATACCGGGAAAGTGGTATTTTTGCTTATGATACGTTGAAGTTCACTACGAATCGTTCGCAAGACGAAGCAGCAACTGCAGAAATAAATTTTCGCCGTTGACTACGCTTCCGAAAAAAATTTCTCTTGCTACGCCGTCCAGCTCCGTTTACTTACCTTTGTCTCTAGCGAGTTCGTAGTCATTTTTGCATACTAGACGGCCGTCATCCGGAATAAGATAGAACTCCTCTCCAGTTTCCAGTTCCCTTTTACAGACCACACATTGGAAGCATTCAACATGGTAGATATGGCCTGCATTAAATGAATTGGATGTGCTCTTCTCTTAAGCTAATTTTCTGACCAGATAGAAGTAATGAAAACCTGAAGCCTTCCGTACTGCTGAGTTTGGAACAATACCGTCACCGCAACGTGTACATTTTGTACCGAACTGTCTGGAATCAGAACTTGTCGGAGTCTGTCTGCTATTGAGGAACATCATGCAATAATAGATAGAATCAACTTCCAATGGCTGTGCGATTGCAAGAAAAAACTCGTCTTTTTTTAGTATGCGACCGCTAAGCACCTCAAGCGTGCAGTGGGATCATCTGCAAATTGAACACTGTGGAAAATCAAACTTGTAGAAGTGATCCTTGCAGAAAAGTGAATCTTCCTTCATGAAACAGGTTGAAGTGAGAGCTTCGTGGCAGACATAGCACCTGAGGCAGTTGGTGTGGTATGACCTGCAATTTCCTCACAAAGCTTTATATGGATCAGTTGGTGAACTTTATGGAATCGAAATGTGAGTTTGTAAAGGATGATCACATGATCGCTGAGCGAAGCGTTTTGTGATGAAGGAGTATTCCCATCACTTTTCTCAACAACTACAAGAAAGAAATAAGTGCATGGCAAAGCTGAACTCATTTTTCAAAGCCACGAGTAAGCCGCTTTCAATAAAATGTCCAAAAGTTAGTATACATTTCGAACCTTTTTCCTGTTTTTCCGACTTTCTTAGTTTTTTATACAACTTTTTGAACCACAAGTAATATAAATCAGCAGCACATACAGTCCTCATCATTGCGGACCGGTGGGGCGTGTCAGCCAGAAGGAGTGCGCACACTGTTGAAGCCGTTCTCAGCCTTTTTTGTTGCAACGCGTATGCGACAAAAAGTGGTAGAAAACGAGTAATACGAAGGAATAATACAGTAATGCACTTGCCCGCTTCAAAAACTGGTGCAGAACGACTTTGCCAAACCGCACCAAACGCAGCCGCACTGCCACGCCCCACCGGTCCGCAATGATGAGGACTGTATATCATCGTTATTGTTGACTTATTACGAACAACTGGACATGAGCATGCGTTACTCTCGGGAACCTTGCAGTTTTGCGCTGGAAAACCCATTTATGCTGATGTCAAGCATCTTCTTGCCCGTAGATTGGCTGATGATAGACTGCAGATGGAATTTTTTTCTACCTACATCTCTTGATACACTAGCGACCCCAGCAGATGCCTCTCCACATGCACCTTTCTTACGGACCGTCATTCACCAAACGACTTTTCTGATTTGGCCGACGCGCGTTCCAACGTCGTTCAACCAGTCCGTATGGCGAGAGTGAAAGAGACATTGTAAACGGTACGTACGCAGACGGGTTACTCATTGAGAGTTTGTCAGCTAATGAGAAATTGATTAATTCAGCTTGAATTCAGGGAGAGAAAACCTAAACTGTTCGTGTATCAAAAAGCGAGGTATCATGGGTCCAAGAGATCGTTTTAAAGACACATAGTACGCTCACAACACATTGAGGGTGTATGAGACTATCAGCCCCCAGCTGTCGATGTGTCGTGGTCCCCCCGCCCAAACATGCCCAGGAAACCGTGAAACACGCTAATTCCTCCATGCTCCGCCTTACACCTTTTTGCGGCGCAGATTCCCGTCCTTCATAACATCCGTCGTAAGCGCGCGTGTCGCGTGCGGCTCCTTGGCACTTTGCCAAGTCCTTTAATTGCGCTTTCAAATACAAGTAAAACGCAATTTCCTGATGCGGATAACATTGGAGGTGCTGCAAAATAAGAACAGAAGATGATGACGAGGGTCAGAACTTAAAAGCAACTGTGCCACTTCTGCAACATCCCTCGGAGGCCGCGTATTTCCACGAAACATGAAAATAAAAACGGCATACTCGTTAGTTTGATACAAGCAAAACGCAATTTCCTGATGCGAATAAAATTTTAGGTGTTGCTCATGCTTCAAAATCCATGTACAAGGAGATGAAGATGACACAGGCTAGAAATGAAGCACAACGATGTAAATGTAAATAAAACAAAAATGAAAAAATCAAGGAAAGGCAAATTAGTTAAAATCGCCTGTAAATTTCTACGATCCGGCGCGAATCCGGCGCCAAAGCCATAGAAATACTTAGAAACGAGTGGGACGCTTGGGTTGTTTTTATTCTCATGTTTTGTGGGAATGCGCGGCCTCTGATGGATACTGCAGATGCAGCCGAGTTGCTCTTGAGTTCTGGCCCTCGTCATCATCTTCTGTTCTTATTTTGTAGCACCTCCAATGTTATCCGCATCAGGAAATTGCGTTTTACTTGTATTTGAGAGCGCAATTAAAGGACTTGGCAAAGTGCCAAGGAGCCGCACGCGACACGCGCGCTTACGACGGATGTTATGAAGGACGGGAATCTGCGCCGCAAAAAGGTGTAAGGCGGAGCATGGAGGAATTAGCGTGTTTCACGGTCCTGTATCTCCATTCCTGGGCATGTTTGGGCGGGGGGACCACGACACATCGACAGCTGGGGGCTGATAGTCTCATACACCCTCAATGTGTTGAGCGTACCATGTGTCTTTAACCTACTACGAATAAGCTTCCATCGGAGAACGCTGTTGAAACAAATCCGGCACATGCAGCCTTCGAGCTAATACTGTCTTACAGGTGAAAGACAATTAAGCGAAAGCAATCGTACCATTTGGATGCCGTACTATGATGGATAGCGTCGGGACCTACTCACACAGCAGATTTCAAGTGTGGTTCAACGACGTCGTGACATAGCCGAGATTTATTTAGCGAACCATGACGAAAAAGAACGGTTTTATCCACCATTTTGGAAAAACAAAAAACAACGAAAACAGTGCTTGCGACAGGCAGTAAGTCGGCTGTTAATTTTTCACGTAATGTCCTTTGCATTAATCATACTACTGCAATTTGTAGTCATTACAGGACGATTTGGCACCACACTCGAAGGGTTACCACAAAGTTTCGGGACACTAGTACTTGCAGGATGCAAGTTGTGCTAATCTGTTCGGAAGAGAGCAAAAAAGACCTGCACAGCGGCAGCTCTTTCCGTATTCTTTCCATGCACTACCTTTTCATTGATTTTTTTAAAATCTTCCCCCAATGCGACTCTTCATCAAAACTGTTCAACAGCACAAAACTACCCAGTGAAAAAATGAAAACTCAGTTTCGTGGAACTAAAAACACATTTTTTTTCCTTAATTTCAAAGCGTTTCTAGCGTGCGAGGCGAAAGGGCGGCTTATGCACGGGTGCGGCTGACACCTCAGAAATAGAGCACGCTCGGTGTACGCTAATTTGGAGGCAGTGAAGTTTTTGAACATTGTACTGATAACTTTCAAAGTTTTTTCTTACATGAAATTTTGAAATTTTTCTTATCGAGTATTTACACGACTGTGTTATAAAATAAAATAAAAGCAATAGACAGAAAATGGACTTGGTGTGGTTATTATCTGCCTTGCTCCAATTACTTACCGCTCAAGAATTCGATGGACGAACCTCTCTCGTATTGGCACGTCACAACGAGAGCACACGCATAACACGCAGTTCTCTGGAATGATGGATTATTATCAGAATAATTCATTAATTCCATACAAACACTGAACAAAGTGCTGGCTAAAGAATAACCGATTTAAAGGCTCTGCAATATAAGCATGCGTTAATATCTCTTGGTCGAGCCACTAAAAATGTCAGTGAAACTTCTGGTACCAAATATCGTTTTCATCGTATTCAGTGCAACGGAATAGAAAGCCGCTTTGAAATGAAGGTTAGCCACCACAGAAAACGTTAATGGCAGTAATACTAGTGAAGCGCAAATATGGCAGATGCGCTCAGGTTAACAGGTAGTCGCGGATAAGTGCAACCGCCAGCCACCTGGTATGTCTTGATAGCTAAAAGCATGTATACAGTAGGCCACCTAGTTTCCTGATTATCAGTTCGATTTTACTTGGTAATGTCGGCATAAGAAACATTTTTGGTCTCGTTTTCTGTAAGAATTGGATTTCATTCTGAATCATGTTATTTTAAGGCTTGCCGCCCCTCCATTCGTACCTATGTGTCCAGTTCCTGCGCTTACTCGCTTGCTAACCATTAAATAATTCTATGTCTATGTAGAACAATATTTAAAAAATCTAAAATCCTAACCATCCTTCGAGGAAGGCTCGTTTTGTGCTGCTTCTGCTTCATAGGATCCAGCTTCACCTAATCCATGCATTTTGTAACGAAATCCTCAAAAGGAAAAATTTATCAGAGTTCAAAACAAAAAAGAAAATAACTCGCTGAGGGCTGCATCAATTACGTTACAATCAATAGTTCCGGAAAGAAGTACCAAGCATGTGTGAAGCCTACCGCAAGACCCCTCCTATGCGAATCCCTAGTTTTGGTGGTAATGGCTTCATTCGAAGCAAACAGTGGAGACAGAAGGTATATATCCCATACGGAGAACAGTACTATTGGCAGAACAGGTGTCAGTGTGATTAATTACAGCTTTTCCACTATCTCTTCACTTCTCTCATGCTTCTCCTCCAAGTATTTGACTCCTACTCTCTTCCTCTCACTCACTTCTCTCACTCTCTTCCTTGTTCTCCAATCTGCAATTTGGAAAAAAATTAACAAAAATGAATGTAAACAGGTAAGAGTGGTCGCGTTGCACGCCCAGTGAAGCCACTGACATTTGTTGGCGTTGTCGATGGGCCCGCCTCTTGGCCAATCATAGATGAGCGATGAAAGATGGCCTTAAACTGCTCAAGATACTGTAAAGCATTCAACAGCAATGCGGACAAATGTTCTCATGCAATCATACCTGCAGCGCCCATCATTATCATTTCTCACCCAAGATTATCATTTATCTATCGAACATTTCAAAGCTGTGTCACTTTCTCGGTTTTCTGGCTCTTTCCCCCTTAAGTTTCTGCTGGAGCTTCTAAACCCTATCAGGCATACCATATTACCCCAACAATAGTCGCAGAGTATTCTGGAACGTGCTACTTTTATTACTTTTAATACTGCACTTTTATCTGCTAGTCTCAGACCAAAATACAAATCCAGTAAACTCTTAGAGATAACAGTTCAGGATGTAATTGTTTTCGAGGATTCATTCCGTTTCACTTCAGAGGAAGAGAAAATTGTTACATTGTATTGGTGCGTTACGTCTCCAGAATTTATCGTAGTCATTGAGATACTACATACATATATCAAAGTTGTATTATTTATACTTAGATGAGCTCGTCCACTTATAGTAATTACGCAATTTCATTCGCTCGACGAAGACCCATTCCCGCAATATGGCCTGCTGACGCAAAAATTATGACACATTAAGTAAAGCAGACAGCAATTCAGGCCGTCATTGGCACCACCTGTCAGCTGACCCTAAAATAGATCATC